TTTTTGTACAGAAGTGTTTGAGGGCCTAAACTGAGGTTTGAAGAGAGTAAACTATTCCTCACAAAATGTTTTGGATGTTCTGTACTTCATAAGTTTGCCTGAGAAAAATAACTTCTTGATTTCTAGTTGTAGACAATTAAAGATGAATAAATGTGAACAACAGACATCTCCGCACAATGCAGAAAGCAGCAGGGCTCAGGGACAATCGCTGTCTCCCAGGCAGGGCTGGCAGGCATGGCTCCAGCAGCCAGCTCAAAGGGCATGTCTGTACGAAGAAGCAAGGCACGGACATCCAGTTCTGCCCTATCTAAGCTGTTATATTGCTGTAATGCATATGTTCTTGCTAGGGTTTGAAAGGAGTTCACTCACAGCCACAAAGAGCTGAACTCCTGCTAGCAAGTAGCAAGCCTTGCCCAGCACATGACACTTTACTGCAGTGCCTCTTGTTCCTCTGCTGTATCAGGTGCCATCTCTGCAGCCACCCCCATACTGCGCTCCTCTGTGGTCCTCACCCTTGGGGCTGGCAGCATGGGAGGAACAGCCACCCAAACAAAGGGGAATGACAGTGGCAAGATTCAGGTAAAGTCTGTGCTGCAAAACATGGGGTAATGCAGAGATACTTGAGCTAACTTTAAAGGAGGTAGTTGAATGAGTACCATGAGAAGTCAAGCCGTGACAGCAGAGAGTTCATTGTGGGTTAATTTGCTCTGCCTTCCTGGTGGGCCAGATGTATGCTTATGAATATTAACTCTTAAAACTAGATCAAGAATGTAAACAGAGGACAGAACATTTTCATGGCCTGCTGTTCTCCTTTCCTTGCTCCCAGCATGGTATAGTATATACCACAATGCAGCTGCACAGCAAAAGAAAACAGGATAATTTTCATGCACTATATACAATGCATTCACAATTTCAGTGTAGAGACTGCCTACTTGTTTAATGCATACACATGCTCCCAGAGAGGTAGGCAGTTCTGTAGACAGGTCACAGGAGTCAGGAAAACAGAACTTGATTCCTGATACTAGCAACATCTTGAAAAGTCACTTCATCCTGTTTCCTCCCCCCACTTCTTCTGCCTTATCTCATTATACATGCAATGTGTCTAACCCACTAAGTGTTGATTTGTTCTTCAGAACTGAAATATAGAAACATAAATTCACCAAATTAAAATTAAAACTAAAGGAAATGGTTCCAACATACCATGCCACCGAGAGCTTGATTTTCTTTAGAACTGGTCTCTGCACAGCAGTTTTGCAGCTTTATTTCTATACTGGTAAAAACATTCTCAGTATGTCAATATACTGATGTGAGTGAATACAGAACGACTAGCAAATGTCTTTTCCATACTATGTAAGAAAGACCCATTAGTCCAGAACCAATGTCTCTTGCCCTATCTGCAGTTACAATCAGTATACCACACGAACAACCCAGCCATTTGCTCATTACGTTTGTACAGGTCTAGGTGAATAGGTAAAGAAAATTACATGTTTCGTCCAAATCAGTAGCTAATTCTAGTCCAGAAACCACATAGCTATGCTAGTGTGCTGCTGTGCTCCAATTAACAAGTGTCCTGCTGGTGGCTTAGGTACACCACCATAATGAAACTGAATGGTTTCCAGTTTAGAAGTGGCTCGTGTCTGGCCAGCCCAGGAAGTGAGTAGGACTGCCTGCGCCTCTATGCATACACAAACTCTCTCAGTTGATTTTGAATAAAGTATTGGAACTGTGCAAGATGTGAAAATCAGGCAACTTGTTTCAAATTATTAAGAGGGCCCTGAGTGCAGGACTCTGGGGTGTGTATTTCAGAAAGCTTCAAGTACACCACTAAAAAAAAAAAAGTATGGTACAGTCCTAAACAGAACCTGCAGTGGGGCATCCATAAGAGGAAAACATCAGAGATGGTGCTCTAAAGCCTTCATTCACTTCACTTTCTTCTACCTTAATGACTATACTCCTGCCAGTGCAATTCCCCTTATTCTTTATCCTACACATAAAATGAGCCGATACTAGTAAGTTTCATGGCTTAAAAATTAGATCTGCCAGACTTTTTCCAGAGGTATACACCAATCTGTGAAAAAGGTTTTCACAGAAAGTCAAAGCCATAGGATGAGCTATACTGACAGTGATGTCTGTGCAAAGAAAATGTAACACTTCCAGGTGGAAACCTCCACAGCTGTTGGGCACGGAGACTGCATGGCCTCAGATTCCATGTGCCTGCTGAAGCTTCTTGGTACTTTTAACTTGGAAAATAAAAAAGTCACAGTCAAAACTACCAAGCAATTATTTAGTTTCCTGAAATAAAGGAAGTGGCTCTGAAGTGGGTGAAGGCTTTTGAAAGTTGTCAAATTGCTAATACTTTTCTAGAGGGTGGGGGAGGAACCTGAATTAATGATCTAATGGAAAAAAAAGTGCTTGTCCTGCAAGCTTTTTTTTTTTTCCTAAATGGAAGCAAAGCTTTTTTTCTGGATTTTTTTTGGGGGGTGCTGTGTTGGGATTGGTGTTGGGGGGCGTTATTGGGTTTTGGGGGGGATGTTTTTTGTTTTGGGTTTTGTTTTGCATAAACAGGCATTGATGTATTGTATCAGGTATGTTAGCATAACTATTTTGATTGGGAAGTCAGCCTAGACATTAAGACAGTGTTATGTATCAATCTTACACTAAAGATTTTAAGAAGCACACATCTGGCAACTAAAAGTTTTAGTAAAGCTAGGTATTCTATGTAGGTAGAGGTAAAAGACTAACAAATAGTGCACAAAAACCTGATTAATTTTATGGGATATTTCAGCAGTGCAAATGTTTACATGGACAGATGGAACTCCAAGTTTGGTGTTTATTGGTACCATATGTTGGTATGTATAGGTACACACAAATACCATTATTTGTCTATTTCTTACCAGGATAACCAGCTGGATACATGCGTTTTATTTGGGGGATTTACACAGTGAAAAGGCCTTTGTGCAGGCTCTAGATATTACTAACTTTTTTTTGTTTGTTTGAATGTAGTTTGATGCTCTTAAAAGTGGCTTGGTGATTGCAGGAAATTAGAGATATTTTATAGGATGTCTCTGCTTGTGGTGGAAGTCAGACAACCTTAAAATTTCTCCTGCTAGGTCATCAAAATCACTAAGAACAATAAGCTCTTGGAGAATAATAATAGTAATAACAAAAGAAGTCCCCAAACCCACCCAACACTTACTAACAAGTGCCTGAAAATTGTTCTTGCCATAAAACCAAAGCATACACCACCTTTTCCAAATGTTGCTCCTCCATTAACAAACTCCTCCCTAGAAGACTGCCCAGCCGCCCATAGCTATAAGGCAGAGTAATCTACACAGCAAAGATGAAGTATAATGGTTCTGTCATCCTGACAGGAGAATCAATCTCTGTGCCAGACTACATGGTGAAAACTAGGTCTGTGAGGTTGAGTACTTGATACTACAGTGTGAGACTGTTAATTGCGTTGTGTAATAGAGAGGAGTTGAAACTTATCATTTCTTTGAGGTTCTTCTGTTTAGTAAAAGTATGTAGAGAGGAACAGGCTTGAGCTAGACTACTCTGTGTGAACAGAGAAAATAACTATTACTTGAAATAAAATACTGCTACCCCTCTTTCTATGTTCCAGCCCTCTCTGTTAGCTAACACATCGACTGACTGTGGAGGTGGCTGAGAGAGCAGACAGTAACCTGCCCTTTCTGGAGAAAAGGTAGGGGTGGGAAGTCTCAGAAAGACATAAAATGGAAAGTAGGACAGCAGATTTAAAAAAAAAAAAGGGAGGGGGGGGACAGGAAAAGCAAGAGATTTTGTTCTTTTCCTCTACAGTACAGCCTTCATTTGTTTTCTTATAATATCCAACAGCTACCAACCAGATTTATTCAGTGCTCCTCTCTTCAGAGACTTTGAAGGACAAAAGAACTAATGCTCAGGCTTCAAATGCTCTTCTTAGCTGGTTATCAACTAAAGGCAGATCATTTTCTTGCTTACATCAGTATAAATCTGGAGTTACTATAGTGACATGATGATAGAAGCATGGATAAATTCAATATATGTGAAAAGAGGTTTCAGCCCTGCGTATAATTTGCTGCCATTTCAGAATATGTTTCAAGCCACTTTTTAGGATGAACATTAGAGAAAAGCTTTTGTGTCTGCCATCAACTATTCCAAATTACATTAACTAGCTAAACTGATGAAAGGTACATATACATAGAATGCTGCATGTTCTTTTCAAGAAAATATTTTCTTAAACTTAGATCCATTTTTGTCTTTATATAAAGTATTACCTCAAAATTAATAGGTTTTTTTGCTACTTACATTATCTGTCACATCTAGGATATTTTGCAAGATCAACCTCTTGGGCTCTATCTTCCTCTTATAAAATTTTAAAAAGTCAAGCAACAAATTCATCTGCACTGGGGCAATTAGACAATTAAAAATTTTGATGGCTCTTCAGCAAGCAGTTTTTATAAAATAAATAAATAATATGTATTTTATAAAATAAGTAATTTCCCAATTGTAGAGATTAACTTACAATGTTTAGATTTTTTTACTAACCCCACTGCAGTAAAAATCAAAATTTGAGGAACTGTAAGCAGATTCTGAGGTCAGGGAGTGGCTAAAATGGATGGGAAGATTTTTTTCTTTAAGGATTGAAACACAGAAAACAAAGTACTGCATCATGAGATGAAATCAAACATAAAGACTGTATCGAACAGGTTCACAAAAGAGATCTAAACATATTCTTTTTCAAATACAACTACAAATCTTTTTTTTTTTTTTAAATGGTTCGTATAACTCTCACGTATGACCATGCGGAAGACATTTTAGCCTTGTACATTATGCGTCAATCTTCCCGATTTAAGTTCTGACACCACTGCATACGATCGTATTCTAGTTTCTGAACAAAGATGCTATTTCTCCACTTTGCAAAGCTTTTCATTTGTTTTACTTCTACAGAGGACATTCAGGTATCAAAATGAGAGAAAGAAATATCAATTGCTACCTACCTTTGACAAAAGCATCCCGTCTCAGAAATGCAACACCAAATGCTAAGAGTTTAAGCCACAAAAACATGGTTATTTCTGGAAATCAGGCGTATCCTTATGAAACAGCATGTGTCTCTCTCTGGAAAGCAAAATAAGTGTTATCTGTCTGCAAAATAATTTCTCAGCAAAACCTGAACCAAAAAAGAGAATAACTAGGCACATACATTGCACTGCCTGCTTATCTGTGAAGGAGTTGCTTCCTCTGTTACCCCAAACTAACCACTCGCAAACTCACTATGCAGTTTAGTGATGTCAGAGACAATTACTTCTTCAAAAAAAAATTCTTTCAGTTTCCAGGAAGTCAAGAGGGTTTTTCTTAAGTTGCTGCAGTAATGCTCAGCTTCCTTAATTCAAATGAAGTAGATTATTTTCAGCCATTTCTTTCTACTGAGGAGCTAAACAAGACTTAACTTTTCAAAAGAACTGGATTTAACAGTCATTCTTTCTCTTCATATTCACTTTTCTATTGCATACGTTCACTGAGTCCCTTCTGTGTTATGGATGCTTCTTGAGATTTCTGTTGTGAGAAAGAGAAACCCAAACCATCAGTCAACAAAACCCTTATACTGGCAACAAGGCCTTCATAAAAAGATGCATCCTCAAGTGAAGTGACTGCTGATTAATTGAAAACCCTTTAAACATGGGATATATTCCTGAATCCTTCCGCAAGGATGCAGTTCTAGGTATGACAGTAATACACAACAAATGGATAGAGGCACTCTAATTCTGTTTTCTGTAATGTTCAGTTCCTAATTAGATAGCTCAATGCAATTCTTCACCATGATAGTGCCAGAGGATTGTTGTCCCTTTCCTGGAGCTGATGCAAGGTACACCAAAGACGTTTTCCCTCACTGCATGCACTGAGATAGTACTCAACAACTTGATAACAAATGCCCATTATATAGTAGGTTACAAAGGGAATAGATGTTGGGATTGCTTCTCTTAGTGGAGGTTTCAAAGGTTTTAAAAGAAACAGCAGAATCCTGTCACAAGACAGATAAAGAAGGGAAGAGAATATATTTGTGTTTATTCTTCATATCATAAGTCCTCTGGAGACTTCCTAAACATTACACAGGAAAAAGTTGCACAAATTCACATAGTAATTCACAGATGACATGAGTGAATCAAACTCCTCATAAAATTAAACGCAGCTTCTACACATCCAACTTTGAGTCAAGTCTTATAACACAGGTCAAAATCTTAGCTTCCATTAAGCAGTATGTCTCTGTACAAACTGGCTGTAACAATAATTATATTGTAAATGTATTCAGAAGAAAACTGATAGTGATATCAGTCTGACACTCCAGAGACTCCAACTTTGATATATAACAACTTCATCATCCTAGAGTTGTCACAAATTTAATTTGGACTATAGACATACATTGTCTGCAGCACTAACATCTTAGTCCCTGTTATCCTAGACAAAACCAGGATAGCAGAAGGGATGAAGTGTGTCATCTGATTAACAGAGTGCATGATATCCCGTGGAGAATTTCACATAAAGTCTCTCAACAAGAACCAGGCTCCATTTCTACCTGACCTTCCCCAACAGTTTTATGCAACCTCCAGTCAACTTTTCAAGCTGTGCCTCCAAGACAAATTCCTGCACAGTGGACCTTTTCTGGCTGTGTGATACTTACAAAGCCTCCATAGCACTTAAATATTGCAACATATCATATACATTATTTAGGGATAACATCACACACTCTAGCCATCATACAATTCAGGTATAATATTATTACATTCATTTAACAGTTGAGAAACCATAAACCATTAACTGTTAAAATTACTGACCAAAGTTACAAATGAACCTCATGGAAGATTCAGAGAAGTCTCAGTGAAGTAATGAGAAGAAAAATCTCTCTTTGCGAGAGCAGATCCTTCAGTCAGTAAATTATTTCAGTGCACACTTTCTGACAGTGAACCACTGCCCTGTAACTGAGAGAGAACAAACACCTTCACAGAAATTACATACTGTCTTTGATTTCAGATTAGTCTCAGATGTTTTAATATTCCATCTACTTGCAGTGCATTTGAAATACAAATCTCAGCAGTCTGTCTACTTGACATTTGTCTATGTGGACAACTGGGAAAGAAATAAAGAATATCATGGTACTAAAACACTGGCTTTTCAAAGACTCTGTTTGAGAAGCCAATATTTTTACTGACAGATGCCAAGTGCATTTTAGTCACTAAGTTCTCAAAACAACAGCAGACCTGGCCTAAGAAGGAGGGAGGAAGGAAGTGTGACAAAAAAGCAAACTCAAGATTTCTCCCCTCATAATAAGCCTCTGAAAGCAGGTAATTATCAACTACATATACAAAGCTAGAAGTTACACAAAACAAAGTTCAGATTTAAGCAAAAAACATAGAATCAGCCAAAGGGAATCAGTATACTCTGCTAGCATTTTCATTAGAAAAACCTAAATGTCAAGGGATATAAAGCTGCGTGTAATTGGAGGACTTCAGAACTGACAGAGCAATCTGAGCTCTAGTGATTAATAAAGGGGGCAGTTTAGTTTCTCTCAGCCACAGGGAAGGTCAGAAAATGGTTGCTGTAGACTTGCTGAGTGGAAAACATGGTCCATAAAAGCAGTTGTTCCAGAAAAAGAAAGAGAAGAAGATGCGCAGGGCTGGCTGATGGCCAGGATATAAACTCTTCTGTTTCACCCTTTTGTCAAGGAGAGATTGCTTGGTTTTGCTAGCTAAGATCACTGGATTGTGAGCAAGCCAAAGAACAGACTACAAAGTATGGGAATTTCAGTTCTAGTGTGGTTCAGACCTGTGCTGAAAGCAATACTATGAAGATGCTATAGTGGGATTTTACACTTATTGTCTTATATTGAGCTCCATATCACAGAGGTTCAGTCTGCAGCTTTCTATAAATTAATATATTATGGCTACACCAATGTATTTACACCCCATATGTTATCTCCTATTCATGTCTTACACAGAATTAATCACAAATATGTTTAAGACTATTAGAATACATGAAGTCTTTTCCCAAACATAAACTGCAGTCATCTTCTCAAGGATAAACCCAAACCCCCACTTTTGGGGGATTGGGAGGGGATTAATTTACTCTACTTGCAGATTGAGTAATGGGCCATTAAAATAAATCTTTCTCAGGACACAACCTTAATTTTTAATCAGCAAAATAATTACTTCAGTATGAAACTATAGCAGTATACTTCCCCTGCACTGGAAAGAATCAAAGTCAGAACCATCAATTTGTATGATTAAGGATTTCTAAAATGACATTAAAAAATATGTAGATGTTTACGTTACCCTTCTCTTTGGAAGTGTCTCTCTTTTGTGATTTATGAAAAGAGCCAAAATACCCCAAACAAAGAAACAACGTAAGAAGCAAATCTTTCATTGTCTGATTCACCTATCGTGCAATACAGTAGATTTGTTAAATTACCATAAACGTCTCCATATTCTGTGCAGTTAAACACCAGCTTAAAGGGCAATTATATCACAACTGCAATACAATTCTGAAAATATGAAATGCCAATAACAATCAGTTTTCCTTTCAATTTATATCTAGAGCCTTTGGAAAAAGATCACAAATACATGCCTCCTGCTTCATATCAAAATTTTAAAGAATACAGCCCTTGAATATAGAGAAAAGAAAGGAAATTCAAAGAACAAAGAAGTAAAGCAATATGTCCTTGCTCCAGATGAGCTGCAAATATTCTTATGAACCAATTCACATAATTTTACAGGAAAATACATTGAAATCATAATCATAAAATAATTAGATTCATTCTGTCCTAATTGAAGTGGTTTATGACATAAATTTTTGTTATATGACACTAATTATGCCATTTGAAAATATTTGTATGCTGAAGCTACCATATATTTGCACATAAATTAACCATCCCACATCTAGTCTAAACTTTTTTTTTTTAATAAATTGGAAAGGCAAATAACATATGAAACAAACTCACAAAGAATAACAGAAACGTAAAATTAGTTGCATTTCAGAACTAGCTAATATTTTAAGGGAATATATGCAGGCTATATTCAGCATCAACACCTAAAATACACTACAACTGGGTTTGATTGACAGTTGCCAGAAAAAACATTTGGCTCTACTCTAAGAATGAAATTAAATCTCAAAGAAACGTACTATTAGATTCTGTATATTCAGATACTCCATCCTTGCAATAGATTTCTGAAACAGATGATGTAAGGAGGGAGAAAAATCAAATTATTCTATGGAAAGATACAATGAAAATTCCCAGTGTTTTTGATTTGGATCAATTTACACATGACCCAGATGTCCCACATGAGAATAATAGTTGTTGAATAAGGAGATGATGGTAAAGATATCATCAACTCTCATTCCCAGTTCTTTCTCTCCCACCTCTGTACACCTCCATTGAACCAAGAGTGCCCCTCTGGCATGGAAGTATTTCCCTTCTAACCACATATACACTGTTCTTGGCAGAGTGACTTGAGTTAGGTGGAAAGAGGAGTCTCAGCACAGATAGACCTTTCAGTGCCAGCCCTAAACTGTTTCCCTAAATGGGGGAAGTGGAAGGGCAACTGTTCCTGCTCCCTGAGCTGAATCTTAGCCCTAGGCCTAGTCAATTGTGCCCCTGGTTAAGCCAGGAGGGAGGTCTGGTTCCCCCACTGCTAATGAGACTGCAGCATCAGGGCAAGGAGTTGTGATCCTCAAAACACTACATACGCCCATCCTCCTGCACAATCTTTCATAAAACATCAGGCAAAAATTCTGTAGTTATTCAGTGACTGATCCTAGATAGTGCAAAAGCTCTGCCCAGATCCCAAACAATCTTAGAGCTTGCTGAGAGAGACCAAGATCTATAATAGCCTCCACAGTCGCTGTCAACTTCCTTTCTACCAGGAGGCATTTCTGTAGCTTCGTTTTATAAGTTGTGCTGCACAAAGGCATCAGATTACAGAGTGCACTGGGCATGGTGTGATCTTCAAACACTACTACACAAAGCATTTCATATTTTTTGCTTCTGAAGGCATCATTACATAGCGGTGGTCCTGCTTGGCCAGGTCTTACCACACTGTGTAGGCAAAAGCAAGGCAGAGGAAGAAAAAATTCAGCTGAACATGCTTGATTCTGTGGTTAAACAGATTTCCTTTCCCAGAGTATTTCACTGACTCAAACAAAACCAAATGGACAGCCTGGGCTGTACCTGCTCATGCCATGCAGGAGCTCACAGGGAATGAAGTCAC